GCACTGGTGCTCCTCTCATTAGTTAGTTTTCTGCTGGATTAACAGGCTGAGTCAGCTCTCAAGAAGGTGGAACGAGCATCAGAGCCAGCATAGGGAAAACAGACAGAAAGCATGTCCGGGAGGGGAGAAGAGGCATATCCTGTTCACCTCTCATCTTTCTTCTCTCTCTTCCTCCTCTCCTGTCCTTTGCACAGGCTCTAAAATTCACATGACCCTTACATGAGCCATCTAAACTCACTAAAATAACAGAAACTACCCCAGTAGGAAACAAACAAAACCCCCCAAGAACATTCTGCTGGGTTAGTGATTTTAATCTGTTTACAGAGGGTCCAATGAGTACCAGTGCCAGCACACAGATGGGTGGGAGCGGAAGGCAGAAGCAGGGAGGGTCATAGGAGAAAGCAAGATCAGCTCCCCTGGCTAGCGATTATCTGGTTCTGCCTGCTCCACTGCCAGGTTAGCTATAGCCTAGTGAATGTATGCTGTGCCATACTGTGCCACCACCCAAGGATGCTGAATGTAAGTTGGAGCTGGTGCGTAAACTAAACTCTTCTTCCCCTACTTTTCAGAGGCTCAAACTATGTGAAACCACAGAGCAAATTAAGCTCTTAGTTAAGGAAATACGTTAAATAATCTCCTAAGGGTTTGCTGAGGGATTGTTTTTCAAAAGGAAAGCATTTACTCAAATGTCCAAAGGGACTTCTGTTATGATGATGAAGTTTAGTACTGAGACTCCAGAACTGGGTTTTGATAACCTGAGCTGGGTTCCTACCTGGTCCATACAGAGCGCTAGGAAGTGAGGAATTAAAAGGACATGCACTTCTGTAAGTTCCAACAAGAAGAGAGAACTTTTTTCCAGAACTGCTCATTCATTTATCCAGTGATAAATGAATAATCAATAGCGATCTCTGGAGAAGGAACGAACTCATGAAACTCCTCCACACTCCCTGGGGAGCATCCTCATCACCAGCTAAAGCATAACTCTGCTTCCACTGAAGCTACACCACAGTACAAAGAGGTACGCCGCTTGAGCAAAAAGAGCACTTGTCCCTGGCCATGAAAAAGTATAGCACTTTAGACCCATCCTGATTTTTTCAGGTCTGGACCTAAGCGATGCTTAAATTTAGGCACTTGAAGTTATCATGAAAATTTGATGTTGACATCTTAAAGCAACTAGGTTACTCCCATCTTTTAAACTCAAAAGAGCATTTTTCACTGCTAGATCATAAAGCACTTTCTAATATCAGCTATGTTTTACGCATAAAGGAACAGAGGTACTGAAATGCAGAATGGCTTGTCCACCTCTGGCCCGTCAGGCCAGAGGCATTGCCAGGTCAGCTTCTGCAGCCATAGGCTAACACTCCCTCCACAAGATCACATGGAGGCTGTGTATTTCCTCAGCCTGTCCTTGGTTCCTTTCAACTTCTATACCTTTTATTACAGTGAACTGAGGATAACCATCATATTTTAAAACATTAAAATAAGTGAGTGGTGGCTTACAGCACCAGCAACAGATATCACAAACATTGCCTGTGCCTCAAATCTCAACATGTTTGCTGAATTATGGCTATAGTAACTTTAAACATGCAAGCTATAGCATGTCTGTGCTTCTACATTGGCATTAACATACAGCATTTCAGCACTACCTCCTTCCTTCCTCACTAAGCAACTAGCACTGCAAAATCCATTAACACACAAGAAATTGCTCATTGCTGTCTGACACACTGTTGCAGCATGCTTGGCACGGCTTAGCAGCCAACTAGAATTTTTGGCACTTAAGCAGCATAAGCCACTCACCAAGGCAAGTCATATACCCTTACTGCCTGCCATCTGCGGAGACCATGTGGGAGCCCTGAACCAGAGTGGATAGGCACCAAACAGCAGAGATGCGTTGGACCACCCTATCAGCTCCCACGTGTGCACAGATACGTTAACTTGTAGCAAGGCAGATTTTTGTTTCCAAGAGACTGTATCTTGGAGACTACTTGTTTTGCAAACCTCTAATTCGAATCTCTAACATCACTCTGCATCTCCTCAGGATGCACCAGGTTTCAAGCAACGCATGGAAACACATGAACTTTAGAGCACGCTGGGGTTTTCACTGCCCCAACCACTGTATGCTGGGGCTACGTTCTGTTGCCACATGGAACTTATCATTTTTGCTACATCTAGGTTTTTAATACGCGACGATCCTGAAAGAGAACTTCTTCAAAAAACATACAGGAAGGGGTACTATATACCTCCATGCAGTATAGAAAGGTCACTTGCTGCAATGAGATATCCTGATGCAAAGATGAACATAGCCTGAAAATAGCGTAGAGATGAATGAACCTCTAAAGCTGGCCTTAATTGCTCCTTCCCAACATAGGGTTTCAAACTGCAACACACATGACTGTTTTAAACCCCTTATTTTGACCTACGTACAATGCACTTAGTGCACACTATCAACACACGAGTTTCTCAGCTTGTCCTTGTTTTTTATTTTATTTTGATATCTTCCAAATTCTGCAAGATACCGTCAACTTCAATTCCCCATTTCCTCACTAAGAACTCGTACATAGTTACATTTCTTAACCCTATGCCCTCTGTATTTTGTTTAATGCAGAGCATGAATACAGAGAGTCAGCATGCATACAGAGAGACAAGGGTGCTCAATTCCACATTTCTACCTCCCAATTACTTTACAGAAAGATCACTTGAGACAATGAAGTTCAGGCCTCACAAAGAGGCTGTCCATAAATCACAATTTAAGAACTAGAAGCATTACTTATCAGTTCACCAGAGAATGTCTGAATTTAAAAGTGCTTGGAATATACCTTCTCACCACTAGAAGTGAAATCAGTGACATACTCTTCTGATTATGCCAGAAAGTCAGGCAGGCTATTTTATTGTCCAGAAAAGGCAAGGCAGACACAATAAAGTGTTCACTGGAGTGAAAGCAACATTAATTAACATTAAAAATTTTAAGTTATCTTACTAAGTAACAGGTTTCCTCATCCATCATATTATGTTTTGTTGTTTCCTCACTGTCATATTAGTACTTCCCTTCTCAGACGTTTCTGGACATATTAATCTTTGCAAGAGGATATTCTTGCCTGATACATGTTTGCATACAGAACATATTGATTTCACAACTGACGCAAGGGAAGAGCTGAGGAGAGAAATTACAGTTAAATGCACTTCTGTTCCACACCGAAAACTCAAGAGCTTACCAGTAAGAGTAGGTACAGATGCCTTCAGCTCCCTCCCTTCACTTATTTACGTATTAATTTTAGCAGGTGATCAAATCATAGCACTTACCAAGTTAAAATAATAAAATCCTGCTAGCTCTCTGAAAAACAAATTCGTACCAATAAGAACAAAGAGTTTATCCTCTCTGTTGCTCCCCTCCGCCCCAAATCCAGACAAATTTGCAGCGAGAATGAGCCACGGGAGAGAGAGATAAACCAAGACCAGTCAGAATTCACACCAATTCCTACCACGTCACGTGAGAGGGAGATTTTACTTCAAGTTCTTACCTCTTCTTTAGTCTCTTTAAATGAAGACTTTAAAGATCGACTTCTGGGGTCTTGGGGCTTGGTTTCTTCCTGCTGCCCAAAGAGTTCCTCAATCGTCTTTGTATCGATCTGATACTGCGGTCTTGCAGCAATTGTCCAGATATTGGTTTTACCACGGACTTGCTCTTCGGGGATGGTTTTCCAGAAAAAGCTCCGCATTCGTTTTTTTTTGCTGTGGTTGTCATGTCCATTTACCAGTTGTGGTGGCACGGGCAGGTTGGGCCCAGCGACGGCTGGGGAAGCGGAGATGCTGTCGTCGTATCCTCGTTCATCAATCCTGTTGCAGTTGAAACAGCCCCATTCTCTTTATCATTGACCAAGGAGAGGCAATTCATAACATGCATTTTATGGCCTCTCCGGAGAGGAGAGCGTTACTTCCTTGGATCAGTTTGAAACATTGAATAGCGCAGCAGCAATTTATATCACGCTCTTTCAAACTCTAGTCTGCCAGCAGCAGCAGCAACACAAGGCGGGACTGTACCATGACTGCAACCTGCAACAAAGGACAATACGGAAACTCAGACCAGACAGATGGATATTGTCCCTTGTGCTGAAAATACACTAAAATTAAGGTATAACAGCTATCAATTTTTTAATCCAGAAGGAAAAATTAGTGAATCTTTCCCAGGGTTAGATTTCAAATGTTTGTGGGGACCTAGATTTCAATATATATACAAATATGAACCCCTCTTAAACAGCCCACAGCAGATACTGAACCCATCTAGTAATTTCTGTTCAGTGTAATTTTCTAAGAGAATATATTTATCCCAAGTTATTAAAACACACAAATATTCTTCAAATACTAATTTAAAATTTTTAAAAGGTGATTACACACACAGTTAGAAAATATAATTATTAATTACAGTACAGGATTAACTGGATCACATAGACTGTGTTTGAATCCTTTTAATTCATGGTTTAAAGCCATGCTGCATTAAAAAAATGAACAATATGTGGGACGATTTAACAATCTAGCCTAACGTACTGCTTTTTTGCCTTAATATTTTTCATGTGAGTCTCAGTAAGGGAAAAACAGGATGCAGTCCCTAAACCGTGTGTGTTCACTCAGCGTAAGTTTTCAGCATTTACATTTTACCATCACTAGTCAGGTTACGCTACTGACTGAACACACTAATAGAAGACAAACTGCAGTTTGATTAAGCTATCTCTTATAATTTACTTCAGTATCTAGGTTACCACAGCTAGTTCAATAAGCACAGAAAGAGCGAGCAGAGGAACAAATAGGAACATTAACCTACACATCCTAGCACTGTACATACGCAGAGCTTGAAATACTTAGGAAAGTTTTTATATCTAGATTACCTCATGAAGTAGCTTAACAGGAATCAAAATAGTTTTGAGCTATATTTCTTATGATGTCACCTGCTAAAAGATTGACAGTAAGATTGACTGTTATCGACAGTAAACCTTTAAGAAGGAATATAATTTCTGTAAAAAGTGCCATTTTGGCAAGCCACAACTATTTAAAAAAGTCTTACTTTGTTTACAATATATTTCTCAGAGAAAATAAAATGCAGATATTTCAAATATAGTCAAAAGAAGAATTCCATGTTTTAATGAAAATATTTAAGCTTCCTCAAAGGAATTTGGGGAATTTACTAAAAATCAATGATACCGCACAGCAAAAATTTAGATGGAAGTGAGGAAAGACAGTCACTAAGCAAAAATCACAGCAAAAGTTGAAGTAATGTGCTAGCATCAGAATAATACCAAATCAAAAATTTGGCACTGATTTAGCAGTATGCCTGTTCAGCAAGGTTTACATGGAACTGATACCATCCCAGCTCTATTTGACAACACGTAATAGTGATGAAAAACCTTTGTTATTTTTGCCAGAGATCCATCATTACAGTATTCATGAAAAAACAGACTCAAGTCACAGAAACAAGCCTTAGGACAAACTCTCTCCTGGTCTGTAAGGGCTCCAATACTCATAGCTTCACTGAAGTCAATGGAAATTGACACAAAATGATCAACTTCACCTCTTTTTCTCAAAAGCATGCACAAGTAGCAATTAACTTGTTTTTGCTGCAGAAAATCTGAAGCAGATTTTCTAATCTTATACCTTACGTTATCAAGGTACTTATGAGACTAGAAAACACGTACAAAAACTGGGGGAGATTCCAGGTATAGGAATGACGGAAAATATTTTAACGGCAGGATAAAAAGAGGAAAAGCTACAAAGAAAGTGGATCAGGATGGAGAATTTCAAATTTAAATTAACATTAATGCCCAGTTGTCACTACAGAGTTATGTATGTTTAGTCCTCTCCTCCAAGTTTATGATCACAGACACAAAAAGGCATTAAAAGAGTAGGTGCAAGGTGGTGGGAAGAGATTAACCATTCAAAGCAATTAAATATTGCATTAATTTAAAAAGATATTAAACTTGAAAAAAAATTTTTCTTCCCCCTCATTTATTTAAAAATGAAAAATGTATTAGCTAGTCTTTCACCATCACAAAGCAGTATTCAACAGCTATGATTTTCTCACTCTGGTTCCCACAAATTAAAAAAGGAGAGGGAAGGAGAGCGTCCATACCCCTGGGCATCACATAAGAACCTGATCTAGAAACTTCCAATAAATCTAAGCGCTTTAAAAGGATAGGATCAAGTCCTAATGAAACAAAATTGCTGGCAATGAATCACCAGAGTCCCAGTGCTAACACACAAAAATGGAAAACAACTGATCTTGGACCTGAGGTGCTTTTGAGTTAGACAAGGGACACTCCTAGTGAAAGGAGTGGAGAATGCAAGAGGAATTCCCCCCCTCAACCTAGATGTGAAGAGAGATAGAGCAGGAAATATTATTTTCAAGCCATCACGGGAACCCTACACTGCTTAGGATGAAGTAACTGTCATCTAAGACCAGGAAAGAAGACGACGCAACCTGTGGAATGAAGGCAGAGAAGGAAAAGCACCGCGTAAATGCCAGTACTCAGCTTTGTCTTCTGGCAGATAAGCACCACAGGTGACAGAGGTCACCTGCTTTTAACAGAAGCACGTTCTCAAGTTACCAGATACCTGGAGATCAGTCAAAATTCCCTTCTCTCGCTGTCAGAAAAGCAGCTTGAAGATGTACCAGAGTCCCCGCCACGACTGTGGGTGGGAGATGCAAGAAGCTGGCAGCCAGGGATGGGCTCTGGGCAGCTTCCTGCTATCAGCAGGTGTCTCCCAGCAGGAAGTACAGCGTGAGGACCTGGGGAACAACACAGCCATCCCAACTGCTAACTACAGACTATCAAGACACCGCACCAGGATCCCTAATAAAACCCAAGCAAAATTCTAACTCCCAAGGTTCCTCTCTGCAATTTTCAAAGGATTAAAAGGAAGAAAGAGACCTAAGAACAAACATTTAAGATGGCTTAATTATATCTCATTATTGCATGTTTGTTATCCAAAATGGTCTAAGTTCTCAAGTAATGTCTTTACTACATGTTTTAATTGCGTCCATATTTAGCATAAAAGAAGTATTTTATTTCTTTGTCTCACACATTGTTTTGGCCAACATAATCTAACTTGTAAATGCATTTCAAAGTTACGGGTTGAGGACAACTTTCTCCCCAGGCCAGAAGACAAACACTCAAAAGTAATTTGTTTCTTGCAAAAAAGGCAGTTGCCACTGAGACGGACATAAATCATATTCGCATACACAAATTAACAGGTGAAATCTACGGTACGCTGTAGGGCATCTTAGAACTCATTCTGCAAGACATTATTCCCTTTAACCCACGCCTTACGTTCTCCACTGCCCGTGTTTTTCTAGCAGGTGTCCTCCAAATCCTCACGAGAACAACGCTGACTTTGACACCAAAGCCCAGCCACGGCATTTGGATGTCTGGGTCCCAACAATAGCTGTAGCAAAAAGTAAATGGAGCGACGAGTTGCTAGCCACAGATAAAGAAACTGCAAACACCGCCTCGCGAAGCCAGCTGTTGATCTTGCCAAAGTGCGTGGGTTACGAAGAAGAAACAGCTCACGCTATCGCCGCAACTTAATACTTAACCGCTTAACGCATCCGACAAAGACCCTCGCACGCCGCAGCCAGCCTCGCGGCCGGGCGGGCAAGGAAACTCCACGCGAGGGCAACGGGCAGCAGCCAGGCCGAGAGGCGATGGGTTTACCGGGGGACTCAGCTCCGGCTCTTCGGCTCCCGGCCGCGCCGAGCGTTACCACCGTGCTTCTCCTC